TAGTAAACTTTTGTTATTGATAAAAGTTTTTATTTCAGAAGTAACAATGAATGAACTTTTAAGTTTCTTTTATTTCTTTTTCAGCTTTTAAATATTTCTTCTTCATGATTAGTGACAGTCTTTTCTGTATCAATAGAAGTTATTATTGTCCACCTTAAAGAAAACACTGCTATTCTTATGCAAAAGAATGGAAGTAAACTCAATCTTAGAATTGGAGGGGAGAAAGAAGTTCAAAAAGACTTGGTGAGGCTCTCCGTAGATAACAGAGAAGCATCTGTAATTGGAAGTAATTCTCCCTCTATGTGGAAAAATATCTGCTGGTAAATGGCCTACACTTCCTGAGGATAGTCTGGTAAAAGAAAATTCAATCAAAGTTTTGCTGCTTTCTGTTTTAATTTTTTTGTGTGTAGACTTTACAGATGGTAGATGGACTGTGAGTTTCCAAGTGGGAAGTTTAAGGACCAAGGGAAACTATGAACCATGAACTTTGGACTATATCAAACATTAATTGAGTCACCCAGACAGCTTCCTGTAGATGTCTTTCTGGCAACTGGGTATCAATTGATATGGGAGAAGAAAAACCAGGAATCAATATCCTGATTATATTTCTGGCTTTCTATTTTGATTTCCTTTCAACAATTTTTTCATTTTTATTAATTTTTAATTTTTAATATATTATATGAGCAACTCCTTTCTAGTAAACAAGGTAAGATAACTAGAATCTTTTGTTATTGATAAAAGATTTTATTTCAGAAGTAACAATGAACTTTTTTTTTCATTTTTTCAGTGATAGGCAAGTATTAGAAAATACTATAAATGGGGTTAGAGTGACAATACAGTAAATAGGGTGGTTGTCTTGCATGTGATCAACTTGGATTTGATCCCTGGCATTCCATATGGTCTCTTGAACACACCAAGAGTGATTCCTGAGTACAGAGCCAGGAGTAAGCCCTGAGCAACTTCAGGTATAACCCAGAAAAAAAAGCTGTAAGGAGACAGAAAGAAAGAAAGAAAGAAAGGAAGAAAGAAAGAAAGAAAGAAAGAAAGAAAGAAAGAAAGAAAGAAAGAAAGAAAGGAGAAAGATTGAAGGTAGGGAAGCTACTATAAATGTTTAACAAATAGGCTTAAAAGTGGGTGAGGCTGAGAGACCGAGAACAGATGACTGGTTAAAGAAACTTTGGTACATCTACACAATGGAACACTATGCAGCTATTAAGGAAAGATGAAGTTATAAAATTTGCTGATAAGTGGATGGTCATGGAGAGTATTGTTAAGTGAAATGAATCAGAAAGAGAGGGACAGATGTAGAATGACTGCACTCATTTGTGGAATATAAAACAGCATAATATGAGACTGACACCCAAGGACAGTAGACACAGGGGCCAGGAATATTGCTCCATAGTTGGAAGCATGCTTCATGAGCTTAGGGAGAAGGCAGCTGGAATACAGAAGGGATCACTAAGTCAATGATGGTTGGAGAGATCATTTGGGATGGGAGATATGTACTGAAAGTAGATAATGGACCAAAGTGATAGCCTCTCAGTATCTTTATTGCAAACCATAATGCCCCAAAGTAGAGAGAGAGTATGGGAAAAATTGTCTGCCATAGAGGCAGGGGGAGAGGTGGGATGGAGGGGGATACTGGGGATTGCTGGTGGAAAATGTACACTGGTGGAGGGATGGGTGTTTGATCATTGTATGACTGAAATTCAAACATGAAAGCTTTATAAGTGTTGCTCATGGTGATTCAATAAAAAAAAGAAAATAAAGAAATATTTTGATAGAAAACAAATATTTTTTTGTTATTTGCGTATTTGGTGTGACTGGAGCGATAGCACAGCAGTAGGGCATTTGCCTCACAAGCGGCCAACATGACTCGAGTTCGATTCCTCAGCCCCTCTCGGAGATCCCGGCAAGCTACCGAGAGTATCTCGCCCGCACGGCAGAGCCTGGCAAGCTACCCATGACTTATTCAGTATGCCAAACACAGTAACAACAAGTCTCATGATGGAGACGTTACTGGGCCCGCTCTAGCAAATCGATGAACAACGGGAGGACTGTGACCGTGACCTTATTTCCTTATTACTCTTAGAAATAAAGTTTCATGTTCATCTAAAAAAAGTGGGTGAGGGAACTTCCTCATTTTATATTTTAAGAGGAAGTGAAAACAAAGTGTATATGCAATTTGTCATTGCTGTTCTCTTGGGGAGAAGTAGATGTGGGAATATGACACACGGTAATTTTTATGAGCTTTCCATTTAAAGGTCTCAGAGAATTATGAGACAAAACTCTGGGCCTACAAAAGAGAGAAACTTGGAACTAAAATACCTGCATAAAATATGAACTGTCAAAATAGATGGTTCAGTGAGCGAAAATTCTGCAGCACTGAGACATGACAAATCTTGTCTTTGTATCAGTTCCTGATAGATAGAACTATTTCTAACTGACGAAAGAATGTTCTCCTGAAATAACAAGACCACAGAATTGTGTTACTCTCATTGGTGTGCTCAAGAAACCACAAATAAAGAATCATTATAAAAATTGGTTGTTGGGGTGGGGGAGATAATCCAATGGTCACATGCTTTGTGTGCAGAACCTTTGTGTTCAATGCTCTGTACTGCATAGTTTCCCAAAAACTATAGGGAGTGACCCCCAATCATTGAGACAAAAGTAGGCCCTCAAGGACCACCTGATGTGGCAAAACAAAATGAAAATTTGATCATGGGACAGTGACCTTCCCATGTCTTATAAAAAGCAAATATGAAATGCTCTTTGACAGAAGCCCAAACTTCTAAATCTAAAATTGCAAAATCCAACAAGTTGTAATGAATAATAAATAAAGGGTGATAAATTCAGAATTGAATATCTAAAACCTACTAGTAAATCCAATAATTATAATATTAAAATTTATTTTAACTTATTTGATGTTATTTAATAAAATTAAATAATCAACCCTTAACAGTAAAGTACTAAATACAGTAAAAAAAAAAGCTCATTAAGAGGGCCACACACAGTGGTGCTCAGTCTGGCAGTATTCAAGAGCAAGCAGAACTATTCTCGGAGTCATTCAGAAGCCACATAGTACCAGAAATTGAGCAAGGGTACACTGAATAATATTTTAAAATTTTTATTTGGCATCATGATTTACAAAATTATTAATAATAGAATTTCAAGCGTACAATGTTTAATTCCAAACCAACCATCAGTGTCAGTGTCCCTCCACCTACGACCCCAGGTTCATTCTCACCCCCCCATCCGGCCTTCTTAGCAACAGCTTTTGTAGAAAAATAAGATTGCATCACATGCTTCTAATAGTGTTAATTCTTATGGCTCTGACGAACATGGCCACCTTACCTCTTTACTATCAAGGTATCCAAGATTCTTAACCAAAGTTCTTACATCTTCACCAGTCCATCTCAGCATTCCCATCCTCACTCTCTCCTTTATTTGGCATTCGTATTTCTAGAATCCAGGGACAAGTGTTTGCCCACATTTTATACCTTTCGGTCTCTTGTTGTTTATCCAATATCTGTTCTTCTCCCTCTGACTTTCTTTGCTTAACATGACACCCTCCATTTTCATCAAAATTTCAGCAAACTGTATGATTTCATCTTTTCTGTCACAAGTTATTTGAAGACCAGGTGCTACTCAAGTCTTACCCTTGGCTGTATGCTCAGGGATCACTCCCAACTGTGCTCAAGGGACCTGTGCTGCAGTGCCAGTGATCAAACCAACCAGGGTTAGTTGAATTCAAGGCGTGTCTTAACCCCTGTACTATCTCTCCAGCCCCATCACAAAGAATATTGAAACCACCCAAGGGCCCATAGCCTATTGAACCAGAAAAAAACAGACATCAAATGAAACTCAGTAGCAAAAAAAGGGGGTGGTGGGAAATCATTATATAATGATATAGAGCCCGGCAAGCTACCGAGAGTATCTCGCCCACACGGCAGAGCCTGGCAAGCCACCCGTGATGTATTCGATATGCCAAACACAGTGATATATATAAACAGAGTAAATTCTTTAAAAAATATATAGTATTTAGAATTTTTACATTTGAAATATACAATATCAGAATATTTAATAAATAGACAAATACCATCAGAACTAATGGGGAAAAATACACATCAATAGATAGCTGAGGACATAACTACCCCAGCCTCAACTATGGATAGATCTTCTGGAGAAAAATTTTAACTGGACCCCTAATCTCTAAGAAGCAATTCTGCAAACCACTAATCTCAGGATTGCACAGCCTTAAATTTACTGCTCCTCTGAAACCTCAAATTCTTTTGTTCTCCCACAATGCCCAAAAGTAGAGAGTACGGGGGAAACTGTCTGCCATGGAGGCAGGGGGAGGGTGGGAAAGGGGGGTATACTGAGGAGATTGGTGGTGGGGAATGTGCCCTGGTGAAGGGATGGGTGTTTGATTATTGCATGATTGTAACTCAAACATGAAAGCTTGTAACTGTGTCACACGGTGATTCAATTTAAAAAAATTTTTTTGGTTCTGTTCTGTTTCCTCTTTAAGAAGAAATTGGAGACTGGAGCTACTTGAACATAGCAGATAAGGTGCTTATATGGCATGTGATTAGCCCAAATTCAATCCTTGGCACCAGATTCAATCCCAAACACCACCAGGAGTGATCCCTTAGCACAGAGTCAGGAGTAAGTCATAAGCACCTCTAACCCCCCCCTCACACCCCCCTCAACCAAAAAAAAAAGTGGAGCACAACTTGACCAATAACTAAAACAACCAGCAGGAATCAGATTCTGCTTAACAAAGTCCTTCCTACTCCTGCATCCACATCAGTTCTCCTAGGTAGTCTCTTTTTTGGTTTATGCTCTATTTACTTTACAGTAGATGCATAAATAGTCTCATAAAGGAAAGCACCTGGAGAAGACATACTGGAAAGCTGAAACCACAGGATCTCTGAAGACTGTATTAGTTCTAACGTGTACTGAATGGTGGCTTTTAAAAGTCAGAATTTTCAATAACTTTACATAGCATCTTCATAGTCCATATCTATGATATCCCTCTTCTTCAGTCTAGAGTAGATGGCTGAAGAATCCTAAAAGAAAGTTCTGTGAGTAAGATTATTGAAGAAGACTCATAGAACACACTTCCCACCATTTGTCCTCCCTAGTCAACCTGGGGATTTATGCTGGCATGACAGGCCACACGGCATATGGATTGAAGTCTTATTTATCTACCATATAATCCAGGAATTCCACTTCTAGCTATTTATGCAAAGAATATGAAAACACTCATTTTACAATATGTGTGCACTGCTATGTTCATTATATAAATACTCAAAATTGCCACAGTGAAAGCAACCTGACTGACCACTAACAGGTGACTGAATAAAGAGGTTGTTATATATAAACCAGATAGAACACTATTCTGCTATTTTGAAAAAAGTTGAAATCTTGCCTTACCCGATGGCATGAATGGAATTTGAGTTACTCAAAGTGATAAAAAGGTCATGGAGCAGAGTTATAGTCTAGCAGGAGGGGTCTTTGTCTTGTACACAGTCAACCCAGGTTTGATCACTGGAACCAGAAATGGTACCTCAAGTTCTTCTAGGATTGATCCCTGAACAGAGCCAGGAATAAGCCTTTACCATTGCTGGGTGTGGGTCCTCACTCCCCACAAAAAAGTGAAGTAGTCAGAAGATGAGGGAGCGATGCTCATGTGAACCAGAAAAAAAGTTGTGAAAGAAAAAGAACAAACTAAGCAAAAGAAAAACAAGCCTTGACTCTGACAATAAAATGGTGGTTATCAAAATAAGTAGGGGAGCAGATAGGAGGAAAAAATAGAGGAGGTCAGTTTGACACAAAATGAATGGTGGTGGATGTAGTGTGTTATGTACATTTATCAAGGCAGAAAGCATAAAACATAAAGTTGGATGAATCAATTTTTAAAAGTTGGAGACTCGGAAAACTGGTCCTGGGAAAGCATTTTCAAATGTCCCGCAGCAGGCTGGAGGGATGTAGACTGAGTTTCAACTAAACTGACACAGATATTCAATTCCTTCACTAATTCTTATGAGCAGTTAAGAAGTTAAATGGGTTGTCAGTTTTTTAAGGGTGGACACAAAATTATCAATCTGGACATAGAAAGGTATGCTACTGTTTCCTTAACTGACATTATTCTGGTATTGTCCATATCTTCAATAGTGCCATTCACACATTAGATGCTTAGTAAATATTGAGAAATAATTATTGATTGATTCAGTCAATAGTATATGTTAAATTTAGTGTGTCACTGAAGTTTACCAAAGACTTGGATTTTGTCCTAAGAATCTGGCTGACACAGCAGAGTTGTAAAAATTACAGTGCATTTCCCATCCTCATACACAGGCAGAGTTGAAATTGCTGTGTCTTCCTAAAACTATTTTCATACTATCAGTGATGTTTAACTATTGTTCATGTTTTAAAAGTTACCGATTTGGGGTAATGGGGGAGGAAGAGGTTGGAACACATATTATGGTGTTCATGAGTTGCTCCTGGCTTTATGCTCAGAAATAAATCCTGGCAGTCGTAGGGACCACATGAGGTGTCAGGTATTGAGCCCAGGTTGGCTAAGTATAAGGCAAGTAACTTACTCCCTGTATTTCTCTCTAGCTCCTCAAGTTACCTATTTTCAATGTCACAAATAACCATTAATATTAAATTAGGAAACTATTTGCTTTCTCTAGGTTGATTTACCTTACAGTATAAAGAGAGGGAAGTATAGTTCAATGGTACTTCAGGCTAAAAATTTTCAAATGGATGCCCAGCTAGCGCCACCTCCTAGAAAGCCGGTTTCACCCCTGGTCTGCGCGGGATGGGCACGGAGGCCCAGCTCTGTGCAACCAAGCGAACGGCTCCTATTCCAACCAGGTACAGCCCGCCCCCAAAGGCCTGGGACCCTCTCTGCGCATGCACAGCTAGCTCCACCTCCTAGAAACCCGGTTTCACCCCTGGTCTGCGCGGGACGGGCACGGAGGCCCAGCTCTGGGCAACCAAGTGAACGGCTCCTATTCCAACCAGGTACAGCCCGCCCCCAAGGGCCTGGGACCCTCTGCGCATGCACAGCTAGCTCCACCTCCTAGAAAGCCGGTTTCACCCCTGGTCTGCGCGGGACGGGCACGGAGGCCCAGCTCTGGGCAACCAAGCGAACGGCTCCTATTCCAACCAGGTACAGCCGGCCCCCAAGGGCCTGGGACCCTCTCTGCGCATGCACAGCTAGCTCCACCTCCTAGAAAGCCAGTTTCACCCCTGGTCTGCGCGGGACGGGCACAGAGGCCCAGCTCTGGGCAACCAAGTGAACGGCTCCTATTCCAACCAGGTACAGAATGCCCCCAAGGGCCTGGGACCCTCTCTGCGCATGCACAGCTAGCTCCACCTCCTAGAAACCCGGTTTCACCCCTGGTCTGCGCGGGACGGGTACGGAGGCCCAGCTCTGGGCAACCAAGCGAAGGGCTCCTATTCCAACCAGGTACAGCCGGCCCCCAAGGGCCTGGGACCCTCTCTGCGCATGCACAGCTAGCTCCATCGACGTTCCCAACTCCTCGCTCAGTGCCAGGGACTCTTTCCGGAGCTGCAGCCGATAATGTGGCCGCAAAATATTTTCCCACTACATTTGCCATAGGAACCATAAGCTACCTTCTTCGATGGAAACTTCTCTAGTATAACTCAGTCACTAGAAACACAGTAGCCAATAACTTATAAGCCTATCTTAACTCACACTGCATATCAAGCAGAATAGTAACAGTGAATGTTAAGGACTAAACCACAGTTTTCACAATGGTAAAGCAACGCAAAAGCCCACCAAACGTTCTTATTGAAGAGTCTAGCCCAGATGACACCAACAGTACTGTAGTGTTAGACAACCTCTCTGACAAGGAATTCAGAAGGGAGCTACTTAGGATGCTTAGGGAGCTAAAAGAAACAATGGAAAGCAATGCCAATAGAAGACAAGAGGATTTGAAGGCAGAAATGAGGAAAATGCAATCAGAAATATCAGACCTGAAAAATCTCGTAGGCAAATTGAAAAACTCAGTGGAAGGCCTCAGCAGCAGAGTAACAGCTGCTGAGAACAGAATCAGTGAGCTCGAAGATGAAGTTCAGAGACTCTCCAGAAAAGAGCAGAAAATGGAAAAGAGACTCACAATTTGGGAACAGATGGCAAGAGAAGATCGTGATGAAGCCAAGAGGGGTAACATAAGAATTATTGGAGTCCCAGAGGTACAGGAAGAAAACCTTGATGAAGAAGAAACTGTCAAAGACATCATTGCTACAACGTTTCCAGAGCTGAAGAAAACTTGTGACCATATTCAGGAGGCCCAAAGGGTACCAGCTAGAAGAAATCCGAATAAAAATACCCCAAGACACATTCTGATCAAAATGACCAAAACCTTAGACAGAGACAAAATTCTGAAAGCAGCAAGATCGAAGAAAGAAATCTCTTACAAAGGAGCATCCTTAAAATTCACAGCTGATTTTTCTGATGAAACCCTTATGGCCCGAAAACAGTGGTGGGACATAGTGAAAAAACTCAATGAAATAAATGCCTCCCCAAAAATACTTTACCCAGCGAGACTCTCATTCATAATAGAAGGAACAACACACAGTTTCACAGACAAACAACAGCTCAGGAACTTCATAGACTCAAAACCGTGGTTACAAGAACAACTAAATGGGCTACTTTAAGGCAAGAAAGGCCCCTCAAATACACCAAATTTCAACAGAAGAATGGGACAAAATCCCATAACAATAATCTCTCTCAATGTCAATGGGCTAAACGCGCCAAATAAAAGACATAGAGTGGCAGGATGGATTAGAAAATTGAACCCAACATTCTGCTGCCTGCAAGAAACACATCTCAATAGTCAAAGCAAACACAGGCTCAGAGTCAAAGGCTGGAAAACAATCCTACAGGCAAACAGCTCCCAGAAAAAAGCTGGGGTAGCCATCCTAATATCAGACCACATCGATTTCAGAGTGAGGAAGGTCATAAGAGACAGTGAAGGTCATTTCTTATTGATCAAAGGATCTGTACAACAGGAAGAACTTACAATAATAAATGTATATGCACCTAATGAGAGACCAGCAAAGTACTTAAAACAACTACTCATAGATTTGGAAAAAGACATCAAAAGCAACACAATACTAGTGGGAGACTTCAACACTGCTTTGTCACCTCTTGATAGATCAACCAGACTCAAGCTTAGCAAGGACATACTTCATCTGAGGGAAACAATGGAAGAAAGGGACTTAGTAGATATATACAGGACACTTCATCCACAAAAAGCTGAATACACATTCTTCTCAAGCGTACATGGAACATTCTCCAAGATAGACCACATGCTGAGCCACAAAACATGCCTCCAAAAAATTAAGAAGATAGAGATTGTAACGACAATCTTCTCAGACCATAATGCGCTGAAATTAGAAGCAAATCACATACAAAAACAGAAAACTAAATCAAACACCTGAAAATTAAACAGTGCTCTACTGAACAACGAGTGGCTTAGACAGGAAAACAAAGAGGAAATCAAAAGATTCCTAGAAATGAATGAAAATGAGGACACGAGTTACCAAAACTTATGGGACACAGCAAAAGCTGTGTTAAGAGGAAAGTTTATAGCTCTACAAGCATTCCTCAGGAAGGAGGGGCGAGCACACATAAGTAACCTAACCTCACAGCTTAAGAGCTTGGACAAGGACCAAAAAAAGGAGCACAACCCGAACAGGAGAAAGGAAATAATAAAACTCAGAGCAGAGATTAACGAGATGGAAACCCAAAAAACAATCCGAAAGATCAATGAAACCAAGAGCTGGTTCTTCGAGAAAATTAACAAGATTGATAAGCCTCTAGCAAAACTCACAAAGAAAGGGAGAGAGAAAACCCTAATAAACCGAATCAGAAATGAAAAGGGGGTCATTACAACAGAAACTACAGAAATTCAAAAGATCCTCAGGGAGTACTTTGAGAAACTGTATGCCACGGAACATCAAAACCTCAAGGAAATGGTTAAATTCCTAGACTCCTACAGACTCCCAAGGCTGAACCACGAAGACCTGGAATACCTGAACAGACCTATCACCATCAAGGAAATTGAAATGGTAATAAAAAGTCTCCCCAAGCACAAAAGTCCTGGTCCGGATGGATTCACTACTGAATTCTTCCAAATCTTTAAAGAGGACTTACTCCCAATCCTCTTTAAGCTTTTCCACGAAATTGAAATATCAAAAACACTTCCAAACAGTTTCTACGAAGCAAATATCACACTGATACCAAAAGCAGACAGAGATACCACAAAGAAAGAGAATTACAGACCGATATCCCTGATGAACACAGATGCAAAGATCCTCAACAAACTACTAGCAAATAGAATCCGACTACTCATCATAAAAATCATACACCATGACCAAGTAGGATTCATCCCAGGGATGCAAGGATGGTTCAACATTCGGAAATCAATCAACATAATCCATCATATCAACAAAAGAAAAGATAAAAAGCATATGATTATATCAATAGATGCAGAGAAAGCATTTGACAAGATCCAGTACCCCTTTATGATGAAAACCCTAGCCAAAATGGGTATAGAGGGGACCTTCCTCAACATAATTAAAGCCATCTACCACAAGCCTACAGCAAGCATCATCCTCAATGGGGAAAAACTGAGAGCCTTCCCCCTAAGGTCAGGGACGAGACAAGGATGCCCACTCTCTCCACTGCTGTTCAATATAGTACTGGAAGTACTTGCAATAGCGATTAGGCAAGAAAAAGATATTAAGGGCATTCAGGTAGGAAAGGAAGAAATCAAGCTCTCACTATTCGCAGATGATATGATACTATACTTAGAGAACCCAATAACCTCCACCAAAAAACTCCTAGAAACAATAGACTCGTATAGTAAGTTGCAGGCTATAAAATCAATAACCAAAAGTCCATGGCATTCCTATATGCAAACAGTGAGAGAGAAGAAAGCAACATGAAAAAAACAATCCCGTTCACAATTGTGCCCCAGAAAATCAAGTACTTAGGAATCAGCTTAACTAAGGAAGTAAAGAACCTGTACAAAGAAAACTACAAAACGCTACTTCAGGAAATAAAAGAGGACATGAGGAAATGGAAAGATATCCCCTGCTCATGGGTTGGGAGACTTAACATTGTCAAAATGGCAATACTACCAAAAGCATTGTATAAATTCAATACAATCCCTAAAAGGATACCCACGACATTCTTCAAAGAAATGGAGCAAACACTCCTGAAATTTATATGGAACAATAAGCCCCCACGAATAGCTAAAGCAATTCTTGGGAAAAAGAAAATGGGAGGAATCAACCTTCCTAACTTCAAACTGTACTACAAAGCAGTAATAATTAAAACAGCATGGTACTGGAACAAAGGCAGAACTGCAGACCAATGGAACAGGGTTGAATACACTGACATCTCCCCTCAATCATATGATCATCTAATCTTTGATAAAGGTGCAAGTAATGTGAAGTGGAGTAAGGAAAGTCTCTTTAACAAATTGTGCTGGCATCACTGGACGGCTACATTCAAAAAAATGGGCCCAGAACTCTGCCTAACACCGTGTACAAAAGTAAGATCAAAATGGATTAAAGACCTCAACATCAGACCAGAAACCATAAGGTACATTGAAGACAAAATTGGCAAAACCCTCCATGACATTGAAGCTAATGGTATCTTCAAAGATGCCACGCCACTGGCCGAGCAAGTGAAAACAGAGATAGATAAATGGGACTATCTTAAACTAAGACGCTTCTGCACCTCCAAAGAAACAGTGACCAAAATACAAAGACAGTCTACAGAATGGGAAAGGATATTCGCCGAATACACATCTGACAAGGGGTTGATATCCAGGATATACAAAATACTGGTTAAATTCCACAAGAAGAAAACATCCAACCCCATCCAAAAATGGGGCAATGAAATGAACAGAAACTTTCTCAAAGAAGAAATCCGAATGGCAAAAAAGCACATGAGAAAATGCTCTACATCATTAATCATCAGGGAGATGCAGATCAAAACCACAATGAGATACCATCTCACACCTCAGAGACTGGCCCACATTCTAAAGAACAAAAGCAACCGATGCTGGCGCGGATGTGGCGAGAAAGGGACACTCCTTCACTGTTGGTGGGAATGTCCACTGGTTCAGTCCTTCTGGAAAACAGTATGGACGATTCTCAAAAAATTAGAAATTGTGCTCCCGTTTGACCCAGCAATACCACTCCTGGGCATATATCCCAGAGAGGCAAAAATGTATAGTCGAAGTGACATCTGCACTTGTTTGTTCATTGCAGCACTCTTTACAATAGCCAGAAACTGGAAGAAACCTGAATGCCCAAGAACAGATGACTGGTTAAAGAAACTTCGGTACATCTACACAATGGAGTACTATGTAGCTCTTAGAAAAGATGAAGTCATGAAATTTACATACAAGTGGTACAACATGGAAAGTATCATGCTAAGCGAAATGAGTCAGAAAGAGAGGGATAGACATAGAAAGATTGCATTCATCTGGGGAATATAAAGTAACAAAATATGAGATTAATACCCAAGAATAGCTGAGATCAGCACCAGGAGGATTACTCCATAGCTTAGTGGCCAGTTGGGCATTCTAGAGGAAAGGGCAGCTCAGATAGAGAAGGGAACACCAAATAAAGGGTGTTTGGAGGACCCTCCCAGGAGGGGAGATGCATGTCGAAAGTGGACTATGGACTGAACATGTTTGCCACTCAATGCCTCTTTTGCAGACCACAACACCCAAAAGGAGAGAGAGAACACAGGGGATTGCCCTGCCACAGAGGCAGGGGGGGATGGGGGGTGGAGGTGGGGGGGATATTATCCATGGTGGTGGAAAATGGGCACTGGTGGAGGGATGGGTATCTGATCATTGTATAATCAAACCCAAGCACAAATAATTGTAAATCTACAACTGTACCTCATGGTGTTTCACTAATAAAAAAAAATTTTTTTAAATTTCAAATGAATAGATTTTTTTGGCTAGATATGTACTATTATTTAATTTAAAAATAATATGCATGTACATTGCTATAGCTTCTAAGTTTTCCTTGTAAATGACACTTTTTATAATCAAATGTAGTTATACCCACGGCCCAGTAAGGTCACGGTCCTCCCGTGGAGCACCAATGGCGCAATCGGTTAGCGTGCAGTACTTATACGGCAGTACATTATGTAAGAAAGAGGGAAGAGATAGATAATGGGATCTTTATATTTTTTTCCTAAATGGCTGTCATTTTTTTATTAGTGAAACACCATGAGGTACAGTTACAGACTTACAAATTTTTGTACTTGGGTTTCAGTTATACAATGATCAAGTACCCATCCCTCCACCAGCACCCATCCTCCACCACCATGGGTCCCAGCATCCCTCCCACCCCCCCATTCCCCCATCCCACCCTGCCTCTGTGGCAGGGCATTCCCTTTTGTTCTCTCTTTCTCCTTTTGGGTCCTGTGGTTTGCAAGAGAGGCATTGAGTGGCAATCGTGTTTGGTCTATAGTCTACTTTCAGCATGCTTCTCCCATCCTGGGAGGATCTTCCCAACACCCTTTATTTGGTGCTCCCTTCTCTATCTGAGCTTCCTTTTTTAAAGTTTGAAAGAATTCCCCAGTACCCTGGGCCAGGGTCAAACCAGTAGGCCAGGCAGCCACAGGAGAGAAACAAGGTGAGAAGGAGTCACAGATAGAATATGGTTGAGATGTACTTCCTAACTTACCTTATGTTCTGTATGTGTCCTTAAGGATTCTACTGTGGAGAAAAAGATACAGCACCGTAAGATTCCATTGATACACAAAGTTTGACACTATTTTAGTCTTAGTAAAGATGTTTGGGGGTCAGGTAATTTAGCTTAGCAGCAGAGTACTTGCTTTTTATGTGTAAGGCTTGACTCTTAGAAATGAAAATAAATGAAGAAAAGAGACTAGAAAAAAAGAGAGAAGAAGATACTTTCCTCTTCTAGTTATTTCCCAGTGATTCAGCTTCATTAATACTTTCCATATTACTTTTTTGCCTATGACAAATAAAATCACTTGCTACCTACAAGGAAATTGATATCTTCGGACAGGGAAGGTATGCCTGTTAGAATTTTTTGTTTGTTTGTTTTGCAGAGGGTGACTGTGGTTACACCATACCTAGTGGTGCTCAAGATCTATTCCTAGCTCTGTTATTACAAGTGAATCTGTGGGATCACATAAAATGCTAGAGATAGAACCACTCTTGGTCACATGCAAGGCAAGAACCTTAACCCCTGTACTATCTCTCAACTTACCTTGTACCCCGCCTGCTGGAATTTCTACCTCTCAACATTTCTGGGAATACCATATATGGTGTGGGACAGTGACAATAACTAGGCATCTGTGATAGGTGTTTCGGGGAATATTAAGGAGGCTCAATAGGGCAGGCAACAGTATCAGTTTCAATATAGTCATGTGACTAGAACACATGTGAGATAAACTGTCACATCAGCATCAGAACTAGGTTCTGCTCAAGGCAAATTCCAGACCAAAGGACAGTCTTTACAAAGACACAACAATGCTCTTGGACAGCTCCTAGGGTAGAAGCAGCAGTGCTAGGAAACACTGCCATACAGCTACACATGGCCACTGATTGTCCTCTTGTTCAAGATGTCAGAGACATCTGCAGTTCCTCATCTCTCACCTGTTCCTAATGGCCGTTCCTGCTGCACTTGGTACACCAAAGAATAAACCTCATTGCCATTTGCAACATTCGCTGAAAGAGAAAAAAAGAGGCATCATAACAGAATCTTTCTTCCAGCCACATCATTGACCAACCCTATCCTGGACAAATGAGGTGGAAGAGACTTGGGAGATCCAGGTTTGGCACCAGACCAAAGATCACATTGTTCTTTCTCAGATCACTCCACCTTCCCTGGCCCAGGGTACTGGGGAAGTCTTACCATTCTCATAGTCAGCCTCTGGTTGTTCTGATTCAGGTGAGTTGATGTAAGTGGGATCTTGAAGATTGGGATGAGATGGGCTCCTACAATACAAGGGCCATAATTGATGTTACTCTATGATAGCATATCCATACCTTCAATTGTTCCTTCACATAATAGCTGCTTAGTAAATATTGAATAAAGAAATACTGATTCAATCATCTTGTTCAGTCCTTATGGAAGCAATATAGAAATCTCACCAAAATATAGGAATCGAATTCCCATAAAACTAAAAAAACTGCTTCCTGGCATCTATCCCCAAAAAAACACAAAACAATCATTTTAAAGGATATATTGCACCCTATGTTCATTGCAAGGCTTATTACAATAGCTAAGTTATGGAAACAACCAAAATGCCCAACCACAATTGAATGGATAAAGAAATTGTTTCATCAACCTGAGTGGGCAAGAACAGATGAATGGATAAAGAAACTATGACACATCTATGCAACTGAATACTATGCAGATGTCAGGGAAAATGAAGTCATGAAATTTTCCTATAAATGGATGAACATGGAGAGTATCATGCTGAGTGAAATGAGTCAGAAGGAGAGGGACAGATATAGAATGACTGCATTCATTTATGAATATGTGAATATATATCATAAGAATAATATCCATGGCCAGAGAAAACATGGATTAGGAGGACTGGTCAATGGTTGTAAATAACCACAAGTGTATGAGGGGCTGAGGGTAGGTAAGACAGAGAAGAGATCTGTATGAAAATAATAGCTGAGAATGATCACGCTGGACAAGATCTAAGGGTTAAAAGATAACCGTTCAATATCAATATTGCAAACCAAATGCCCAAAAGGAGAGAGAGGGAGAGAGGGAGAGAGAGAGAGAGAGAGAGAGAGAGAGAGAGAGAGAGAGAGAGAGAGAGAAGAAAAGCGCCTGCCATAGAGGCAGACAGGGGGTGGGGGTGGGGAGCAATGGGAGGGAACCTGGAGACAGTGGTGCTAGGAAATGTAGACTGGTAGAGGGGCGGGTGTTGGAATATTATATGACTGAAATCCAAACATGAAAAGCCTTGTAACTGTCTAAAATAAATTTAAAAAATTAAAAAGAAATTGTTTTATATGCACAATGGGATACTATACAGCAAGAAGATTGAACAAAATTAGGCAATTTTCTGCAACATGGATGACATTAGAGGATGTCTGGCTGAGGGGAGTCAGTCAGAAGGAAAGTGATGGATATGGCATACTCTTTTATATATATGGGACTTAAAGACACACAGCAAGATAGCAACAGAGGACCAGCAGCTTCATAATGGAAGAAGTAATCCACACAACTGAGTTTGTGGGATGGGGTTGAAAGGGAGGGGTGTTAAGGTCTTTGGTGGCAGGGGTGGGTACACTGGTGATCAGGGTGATATTGGAATTATGCACATTAACAGTATTGTAAACCACAGAACCTCAATCAATAAAAATGTCTTTTATAAAAAAATATTGATTCACCCTGGATTAAAAACAGGTAACTATAGAGAAAATCCCTTGAAAGAAAGGGTAAACAAGTACATTCACCAATGGAAAGAATGTAATTGTGATCTCCGGATAATATATACATATATATAAATATAAGATTTTATACATACATATGTGTATGTATATATATACATATATCTGTATATATGCTTTTTTGCTTTTGAGCTATACCCAAATTCTTGGTTACTCCCAGCTCTGTGCTTAGTCACTCATTCTCAGATCTGGGCTCTTCCCTAGCAGTGCTGGATCAAATCCTGGCCTCCTGCATGCAGAGCATTTGCTCCTCATTAATTTATCTCTCTAACCCTGGGGAAAATATTTTATTGTGCTGTTGACAAACAATAACATCTGAAAAATATTTCAACTAAACATTTGGTTGCCCCAGATGAAAGTATTTTTTAAATTTTTTTACTCTAGGTTTGTAAATAATTTCTTCAACAAATTTTCAGTATGCTTATTATTCTCAGACATATTACAGAAATGAGTATATGTCCTTACTATGTAAAGAAACTCTCAAGATGTTTCCCTATATACATAACTTTCAACACTGAGCAGAATAACTGACAGCCTCTCAGACATTGGTTATTTGGTTGAATGGATAAATTAAATGAACAAAAGAAATGTAATTTCTATATTCTACAGATTTTGTGGAGGACATAAGTGAAGGACAATGACAAGAGGATTGAAACTACTAAATAAGTAAAAAAAGAATAGAAAAATGCTATTAATGGACGAAATCTGGATTGGCCATTGCAATGTAATGAAATATGGAAGAAAAGGCAATCCAATTTAAAATAGGATGGTTTTATGCTGGGGGAAAAGGCAGCTCAGATAGAGAAGGGACCACCAAGTAAAAGGTGCAAGGAGGACTCTCCAGGGATGGGAGATGTGGGCTGAAAGTAGATTATAGACCTAACATGATGGCCACTTAATATCTGTAGTGCAAACCACAACACCCAAAAGGAAAGAGAGAGAGCAAAAGGGAATGCCTGCCACAGAGGTGGGGTAGGGTGGAGGGAACGTGGTGGGGGTGGTGGGAAAAGGGCACTGGTGGAGGGATGGTTCCTCGATCATTGTATGACTAAAACGCAAGCACAAAAGTATGTAAGCCTGTAACTATACCTCATGGTTCACTAATAAAACATTTTTAATTCACTAATAATAAATAAATATAAAATAGGGTTGCTTTATTTTGTTTTGTTTTGCATTATCACACGCATGAGGAGAAAGCAGAAGCCTCACCTGACCAGATCCCTAGCTGGACGTCTTCCTGCAAGTCAAACAAAGAAGCAGACACATCAGAGGATAGTGACAATTATTTCTCTTTGTTTTTGGTGCTTTCAGACAGCCCCTGTGCATGAATTGTGCCTCCAAAGATGAGGCCCACTGCAGCAAGGACTGCATTCAAGAGATCTTCTTATATGATGAACATTTAGGTCAATCCTTTTCTATTGGAGATAGAGGAACTCAGGTGCATAATAATAATAATCAGCTAAACTTTCTAAGGACAATTTTTATCTGGGCTAGTACTTGAGTGAAGCCTCTGAGTCCTCCCATCTATAACATTTCTTGGTTTTGGTTTGAAAATCACTTCACCTTATTTTCTCATAACAGGTGGTACTGCCACAGTCACATTACAGACAGATTCAGGAAAATCCTGAACTTCAATAAGAATTTTGCATTGTATTCTCTTGTTCCTTCTCCAGCTTGTCAGCAGAGAACAAGACACCAAGACTAACATACAAAATATATGTAGTCATCATTAATAGAAAGAAGCTTGCTAGCTTATTCTCTGAAAAAAGACTAACAAAAGAAATTGTAGGCTTAGTGTCCACATGAAGCCTCTTGGAGAAGAAGCAGAAACAGAAAAAAATATCCAGTAGTAGACACAATATACAGATGATTTAATGGCATTCCATTGAGAAGTAAAACCACAGGGCAATACAAATATTAGGCAAATGAAAATTGATGCATTAATTCTAACTGGGAGTTGATAAATATAACCCAAACTGATAGCTGTATTTCTCTTCACATGGCTGAGTTTTTTATAATAAATTGTGTTTATGTATGAAAATTAAACCACCAAAGCACAAGATATCAGCTAAACCTCAACTGGGACTACATAGGGAATAGAGAACTTTACTAAGTATCTTGCACTATCTAATTTATTTTAGACCACACCCAGCAGTTCTCAGAGAATTCTCTTGACTCAATACTCAGTCACTCCTGGTGGCACTCAGAGTGACAGTGACCAAACCCAGCTCAATAATATGCAAGACAAACATCTTACCCACTATACTATACTATCCCTGACCCCTAGGGATGTTGCACTATTTTAATAGGTATCATTCCCATGTTGTGAGGTGAGCAAATCTGAAGACAGAGTATCAAATGGATATATATACTTCTTTTAAAATATACATGCCACATATCTAGTCTATTTTGGTGAAAACAAAATAACAAAATATAAATATTGATGAATACTAACCTATTTTTCTCTTGAGCCAACAGCAGAACAATATGGCAACTGTAGTGGAAACAATGATGCCAAGCACCCCCTCAATGATTCCTGAAGGAAGTGGGTCCCCTTTGTCCTTCATGGGCACTGAGGGGAGACAGTTATGTATGAGCTACCAAGTAGAAGGACTTCTCTTTGTGGAGAGCAAATTTCTTGAATTTGAGTGAGGTCAAAGTCTGCTCTCCTTGAGAAAAGTGGAGTCAAAGCTGGAGGGGTATAGACTCATTTATGTAAGGATTTGAAGCTTATTTTATTAATGAACAGAGAAGTGAGGTGCCCCAAACGTCATGCCCCCAGCCCTCCTCAGATACATCTCCTAGAGCAGCACCTCCAACCGAACCCCCATCCTTAGTAGCATATACTAGAAAAATAGAGCAGAAAGATAGCAAGCAAGAGGTCATTGACTGAGACCATTCCTCAGTTTGAGTATACCTGTGACATTGAGTATCACCACCTCACTATGCTGCTGAACCCCTAAACCATTGTCAGCTTCACAGGAGTAGTTTCCAGAATGTTCTGCAGTCAGAGAAATATTGAAGAACACTCCTCCTCCAGAGGGGGCTAAGCTGCTTCCCAGGCTGACATCTTCATGGTAAAACCGGTACAGGATTGGGGGAGAGCCTCTCTGGGCCTCACAATGAAATTCCACCATGTCCCCCACCGTGGCTTGGTCCCTGAAATCCCCAAATGTGAGGACAGGACGAGACACTGGAACTGACAGAAATGGAAGGCTATCAGAGAGAGTCTGTGTTATATGATAGATTCAGGTTCCTTTTCTTCAGAAACTCAAAACCGTTCCATTTTCTCAAGTGCTCTAGGACCCCTTTTGTGACAGGCTAACTGAGCTAATAGATAAACTTACTTCTGACAATGATGTTCACCAATTCACTGAGACTGTTTCCATGGCCATTGTTAGCTGTACAGTAATATGGGCCAGAATTGCTCTCCTTCATCATCGGAATCTCAAACTCTGCTGTCAGTGAATTCTGAGTCTTTGTTTTCAGATTAATACCCATTTCCCCATGGTACCAGGAGAAGGTGATATTTCCAGTGCCCACAGCAACGGAGCAAATAAGAATCAGCTTATCTCCCTTTGCCACTTGTCCGCTTTGAGGGCGAGTCTTCAAGTTCACGTCACTGACAGGGATTCCTGCACAAACACCAGGAGAAACAGGAGGACCTGATTAGGGAGGAACTAATCAAGTGGAACAGTTGTAAAAGTAAAAGATTCGTACCAAGTCAATCTGCTCTTGAAATTGGTTATCGTTGACTTAGTGTTGATAGGGTAGAAGGACACCATAATATCACCATAGAGAATGTGCAATCATCTTTTTGGAAATCCTGAATTCTAGAGCCTGACCAAATTCATTTTTCAAGGCACAATATGGTGGTTGCAAATCCACGTTGAAAATTAAGTGCTTTGGAATAAAGGTTGGCTCTAACCCTTACTGTGTATGCTTAATAAAATTACTTCTGTGAGACTCAACTTTCAATTTATAAAATGAATATGGGAATGATGATTGTCTCTTACTGTGTGAGGGTTCAGTTAGACATTATGCAATGTTGTAGAATAGGCTGTGCCGTATAAGGACTAAACAGTCTTTTTGTTTGTAGACCATCCTGGCTTGTGATAAGGTCTTAACAAATTTGGGAAAACCTTGTGTTATGGAGATATCATATATTTATTTTATGGTACAATGGATATAGCTTTGTCTGAGAATGGAAGGAAATGCTAGAATATTTTATGCTGGTGTGTATAACATAATTCAGAATCACAAGACACCCATTTTTCATTATTTCAGTTTTTTTCATAATCATGCCCCCAACTTCTTTTGCTTAAGTCCTTAATCAAAATAATCTTCCACAAAGTCTTATTTTATCATCTAAGTCAAATTTCTTTCTCTTTTACAGTGTTATGAATGGTCAACCCCTACATGACACATGGCATATTTATTTCACCTTTGTTGTTCAGGATCTCAGTTGAGCACCAAATTTTTATGAGCAGGGACCGCATATTGGGCAGTTATTTCCCCAGACTCTGCAGCACAATGAAGATGCACAGTAAGAGTTTCATAAATACCCCCTTGTTTCCTTGAATGGGAGGAGCAAAGATAAAGGAGGACCCTTCATAGTATGATACTAGTAGAAACAAGGATCATCTCTCACACTGCTCCTATTCACTTAAGAGCAGAAGTCAGAGAACAGCATATGCCTTTGCCCTTCCCACCCAACCAGGCAGGGGGCCCTCTGGCTCTCACTCTGTACATTGATCACTATTCCTGTGCTCTTGGTATCGATGGTACTGATTTCCTTTGTCCTTGCTTGACATGAGTAGTATCCTGTGTCTTCTTTTCTCATGACATTAATCTGGAACTCTGGGATGTTCTTGCAGTCTGATAGGGGTCGACCATCTTTGAAGAAGCAGAACTTGACACTTGATTCCTTTGGAGTGAGTTTGGTCTTACAGGTCAGTGTCATTGAGCCTCCCTCTTTGGGCTGAGAAGGGCTGGCAATTAGCACTAGAGAAAAGAATTAAACATATATTCCAGAGAATGGGTCTCAAAGTTCTTTATAAAAACCACTTCATGCAATATTCCTACATTAATCCCCCAGAAAGAAAAAAGCACTTAGTGTCAAAATGAATTAAAGATCTCAATATCAGACCTGAATCCACAAAATACATGGAAGAAAGCATAGGCAAAATCCTTCACAACAGGGAAGCTAAAGGCATCCTCAAAGATGAAACATTACTGACCAAACAAGTGGAAGCAAAGATAAATAAATGGGACTACATTAAACTAAGAAGCTTCTGCACCTCAAAAGAAATGGTGACCAAGATACAGAGACAGCCCACAATGAGAAAAATTATTTACCCAATACCCATCAGATAAAGGTTTTAATATCCAAGTTATATAAGGCACTGGTAGAATTTTACAAGAAAAATCATCCAACCCTATTAATAATGGAGAGAGGAAATGAACAGAAACTTCCTCAAAGAAGAAATCAAATCACCAAAAGGCACATGAGAAAATACTCTACATCTCTAATAATCATCAGGGAGATGAAACTCAAAAAACAATGAAATATCATCTTACACCAAAGAGACTGGCACACATCCAAAAGAACAAGACCAACCAGTGCTGCTAAGGATGAGGGGAGAAAGGGACTCTCCTTTGCTGTTTGTGGGAATGCTGACTGGTCTAGCCTTTTTGAAAACAATTGGACATTCCTCAAAAAACTAGAAATTGAGCTCCTGTTTGACCCAGCAATACCACTTTTGGGACTATACCCTGGGTGCCCAAAAACACAAAGTAGAAACATCATCTGCACTTGTATGTTCATTGCAGCACTATTCACAACAGAATCTGGAAATAACCAGAGTACCTGAGAACAAATGACTCAATACAAAAATCATGGTATATCTGCACAATGGAATACTACACAGCTGTTAGGAAGAATGAAGTCATGAAATTCGCTTATGAATGGATGGATATGGAAAGTATCGTGCTGAGAGAAATGAGTCAGAAGGAGAGGGACATGTATAGAATAATTACATCCATTTGTGCAATATAAATATGTGTGTGTTGTATGAGACTAATATTCAAGGTCAGGGTAAACATGGGCCAGGAGGACTGGTCAATGGTTGGAAGCTTGACACAAGAGTGTGTGTGTACCTAAAAGGAGAGATAGAACAAAAGGGAATGCCCTGCCACAGAGGCAGGGTGGGGTGGGGGGGATAGGGGTGGGAAGGATACTGGGGTCCATGGTGGTGGAAAATGGGCACTGGTGGAGGGATGGGTATTTGATCATTGTATAATCGAAACCCAAGCACAAAAAATTGTAAATCTACTACTGTACCTCATGGAGTTTCACTAATAAAAATTTTTTAAAAATGAGTGTGTGTCAGGACCCAAAAGGAAAGAGAGAGAACAAAAGGGAATGCCCTGCCACAGAGGCAGGGTGGGATGGGGGAATGGGGGGTGGGAGGGATGCTGGGACCCGTGGTGGTGGAGGATGGGCACTGGTGGAGGTATGGGTACTTGATCATTGTATAACTGAAACCCAAGCACAAAAATTTGTAAGTCTATAACTGTACCTCATGGTGTTTCACTAATAAAAATATTAATTAAAAATAAATAAATAAGTAAAATATAAATAAAAATGGTTAATCAAAAAACAACAACAAAAAAAAGAGTGTGTGTGAGGTGAAGGACAGTTAGGGTAGAGAAGGGATAAACATGACAATAATAATTGGAAATGATCATTTTGGACAGGAACTTAGTGTTGAACATAGATAAAGGGATATACCTGACAACCTTTCATTATCGGTATTGTAAACCATAAGACCCAAAAGAAGAGAGACTGAGAGAGGGGGGAGGGAAGTGAGAGAGAAGAAGGAAAGTTTCAGCAACAGAGGCAGGCAGGGAGCGGGTGACAGCAGGAGAGAAACTGGAATCACTGTTGATGGGAATATACACTGTTGAAGGGACTGGTGTTGGAACATTCTATGACTGAAACCTAATCATGAACAACTTTGTAAATGTATGTGTCACTGTGATTCACACACACACAAATCTTTTAATCTTATTTCAGCTTTGGAATAAGATTCAAAACCTAGCCAGTTGGATATATAGACTACTCTCTTTCCATTTCCTACCTCGCAGGACCTATGAACCTCACTTGCTAACTGCTTCACTGAAGCACACATTCTGCCCTACACAGCATAAACTTCCAGAATGCAACCCTTGCCGTTAACTTGGTTCTTACTCTTTGAAATTTCTATCCATAAACTAAAAGTGACTTTGGGGAGGAGAGAGGAGACAGGGCAGAGATTATGAGTGACTATCACTAGAGTTGGAAATAGTGAGCGATTGTACAGTGGGTAGGGCACATGCCTTGCATGTACCCAACCTGGGTTTGATTCTCAGCACCCCATATAGTCCCCCAGCACCACCAGGAGTGATACCTGAGCACAAAGCAAGGAGTAAGCCCTGAGCAACAATGGGTGTGGCCCCCAAATAAAACAAAGCAAAAACACGAAGTTTTTGAAAAACAAATGTTTCTCATCTTCTTATGTCATATTGACTTTTTCCTTTGTTTCTTTTCCACTGGCTTCTCAAACTTATATTGCATCTTTCAAACACAGTCCATAAAGCCTAGAGAATTGATCAATTCAGAAAAGACTTAGAGGAATGTCATTTCTTCTTTGCTGATTTTCTCTTGCCCCTTGTATTCTGTTTGTTATGGAGCGACAGGCATGCACTTTCCTGGGAATATCCTGCACCTACATCTCGGCGATTTCACTGCTTTTTCCATATGACCATAGGCAACATCACTAAAGAGCAGCTTATCACGGAGTGGGAAAAATTATTTACCCAATATCCATCAGATAGGGGCTTAGTATACAGGATATACAAGAGAATGGTAGAACTTTACAAGAAAAAACCTCCAATCCCATCAAAAAATGGGAAGAAGAAATGAACAGAAAGTTCTTCAAAAAAATTCAATGGCCAAAAGGCACAAGAAAAAGTGCTCTACATCACTCATCATCAGGGAGATGCAAATCAAAACATAAATGAGATATCATCTCATACCACAGACACAGGCACACATCAATAAGAACAAGAACAACCAGTGCTGATGTGGATGCAAGGAGAAAGGGACTCTCCTTCACTGTTTGTGGGAATGCAGACTGGTCCAGCCTTTTTGAAAACAATATGGACATTCCTCAGAAAATGAGAAATTGAGCTTCCATACGGCCCAGCAATAACACTTCTGTGAATATATCCCAGAGATACAAAAAAAAAACAGTAGAAATGACATTTGCACTTGTACGTTTATTGCAGCTCTGTTCACAATAGCCAGAATCTGGAAAAATCTCAAGTGCCCAAGAACAGATGACTGGTTAAAGAAACTTTGGTATATTTACACAATGGAATACTATGCAGCTGTTAGAAAAGATGAAATCATGAAATTTGCATGAAAGTGGATGAACATGGAGAGTATCATGCTAGGTTAGAAAGGGAGGGACAGACATAGAATGGCTGCACTCATTTGTGGAATATAAAGTAACATAATACGAGACTAACACCTAAGGACAGTAGAGATAAGGGCTAGGAGGATCGCTCCACCAGTTGGAAGCCGGCCTCACATGCTGGGGGAAAAGGCATTTGGGATGGAGAAGGGACCACTAAGTAAATGATGGCTGGAAGGATCTCTCAGGATGGGGGATGAGTGCTGATAGTAGACTAAGGACCAAAAATAATAGCCTCTTAGTATTTGTATTGCAAACTATAATGCCCAAAAGTAGAGAGAGAGAGTAAGAAGGAAGGGGTGGGATGGGATTGGGGTGGTGGGAGGGAATCTGGGAATACTGGTGGTGGAAAATGTGCACTGGTGGAGAGAGGGGTGCTCGATCATTGTATGACTGAAACTTAATCATGAAAGTTTGTAACTGTATCTCATGGAATTCAATAAATAAATAAATAAATAAAGAGTAAGCTTACTTCATTCCCTACCTCTGAAGAATGGATGAAACCCCACCCCAACTTTTATTTGGTGATAGGGACTCTCAGTTTTTGAGCACTTAAAAAGGGGTAAAGTTACCTTCTGCTTTCATCTTACCTCCTTCTATGGCAGCCAAGGGAGGGAAAAGAATAGGATGGGGGAACACTAGAACAATGGAGAACAGTGGACATTCTGGTGGAGGGAATATCCAGTTGTAGACATGTAGGGGCTTTGGGACTCCTGAGACTGGAAAGGAAGAAATTATGCTAGCATCTATCATATCTTTTAACTTCTTCGTGCAAACAGCATCTCCCTCCCTAAAATAGAATTCACCAGAAAAGACAGTGGTCTTAGGAAAGTTAGAGCAAGAGTTGCTCCTCTAGATGAGCAGGTACATTACCAGGTGCAGAAACTGGTGTAAATATAGCAGCCTAAGCCCAAGAGACTGCTGATTTGTGTACTTCATAGCTGTCAAGAGATCTTCCTCCCTGGGTCCCAGGTGACAAAACACTCATAGACCATGAAGAAGAAAGGGAAGTGCAACTCCCCAGATGGTACAGAGTAGAGGTAGGAGAGAATTTAGCAGAGATCAATACAAAGAAGAAAATTTCAAACATGCTCAAAGAGAGTGCTACTCCATAGCATTCTCTCCTTTCCTCTTGGCCTCTGGTTCTTCTCACTTTCTCTCTTTTCCTCTTTCTCCTTCTCCTCCCTCTTTTCTTCTCTCCCTCCCTTGTTTTTCCCCTCTTTTTCATTTACTCTTGCTTCCTTTTTCTTCTCTGTTCCTTTTCAACATTGTCCACGAAACACGTACTCACAAAACAATTGCTTTTTAGTTTTGTTTTTATTTGGGGGTCATACCCAGTGATGCTCAAGGGGTTATTCCTAGCTCTGCACTCATGAATCACTCCTGATAGTGCTTGGGGGAGCATATGGAATACCAGGAATTGAACTCAGATTGGCCACATGCA